CACGGGCCTGGCCCGCTCCTGCCGAGGCACGCGCTGTGCGGGGTCAGCGCTGCCGTGGGCACGCGCGTGTGGCGAGGGCGGGAGTGTCCCCGTGTGCACACGCGTGTGGCAGGGACAAGAATGTCTCCATGTGCACACACGTGTGGCAGGGATACGAGTATCCCCGTGTGCACACACATGCGGCAGGGTTATGAGTGTCCCCATGTGCACACACGCGTGGCAGGGATACAAGTGTCCCCGCGTGCACACATGTGGCAGGGATATGAGCGTTCCCGTGTGCACACACGTGTGACAGGGATATGAGTGTCCCTGTGTGCACATGCGGCCACCCAGGGCACCGTCTTGCCCACACGCGTGTGCAGGTTGCGGGGCACCAAGCGCTCTGTGCCTCCCAGCTCAGTCCACGGGGCCATTTCACCCCGCGCTGTCCTGAAGGAGCCTCGTCGCGGAGGGGAGGGTTTGGTGGCATCAGGGAGCTGGAAGCGAGAGGGACAGCGGTGACAGTGTGTGGCCATCACAGCAAAGAGACGGAGCCCACGGCGTGGGGCCTGTGAAATCTGCGCCCAGGCAGTGCTGTCCACACGTGCCTGCTGCTCCTTCAGCCTCCAGGTGCCTCTGAATAACTCTGGAAAAGACAGCAGACAATACAAGGATAATAAGATCTGTTTAATTGTAGCCAACATCTCTTAGAAAGCCGCGCTACTTATCTAAATAGTATTTTGGCTATTAAGCTTGCTATAATAAATTAAGGCTTCTCTTTCCTGAACTCGTGCCTAATTTAATTGTTTGCCAATGTGAACGTTCAGCACAATAGTGCAGGCAGGTGAAGCCTCATTTGTTATATGAACTTAACCGGGGAAAAAAAATGGCCTGGTGTTTTTGGAGCAGTGGGATTATCTCAGGTAAATAGGGAATAAGCATATATTTGGGGGTGTAATTACTCATGAGGAGTAGAGGCAGAATTGCTTTTTCTGTGCGGATGAGCCAGCAGGGAGGTTTGATCTGGGGCTGTCGGTCGGTCGGGAGCCGTGTCCCTGTTCATTGTGCAGCAGCACTCTCGGATCCCTGGAGTGGGCTGGATTCCATGTGCAGCTTGTCAAGCCCTTTGGGAGGGCTGTCCGGTCTGGTCACCTCCGCAGACCTTCCTCTTCTTCCCCTTCAACTACCAAAGCCTTTGGTGGGAATTACAAGGGAGCATTGTCCTGAGGGAAAGCCCTGAGGACACCGAGGGAATTCCAGAGGTCATATTGACTTTCCAAACAGGTTATTAACTATGTTTAGTTGTTGCCCTGATGTTATTTTTGGTGGAGCCTGACATAAGGATATTGGGGTAGAAATGTGCTGCTTGCTTTCCCAGTCCTCTCGCTCTGCTCCTGACGTTCTGTCACATTGTTCAAGAGCATCTCCTGAGACAATGTGCAATTACTGATTAAAAAAAGACCCAAAAAACCCATAGATGAAATATCTCAGTTTTGCTGCAGATCCAGCTGATAGTGGAGTAGCAAGAAAGTCCTGAGGAGGCCAAACCGAATGTGTTTCAGTACTGCCTGGGATTTCCACGTGGTATTTGTTCCACATTTACTTGCACTGTGTGCAAATATTCAAGATCCTACCTGAAAAAAAACCTTTTTTTAGCGCTTATTAGAACTTCCCTCGTTGCAACAGTCCGTGCAGTTGCAGGTCTCCGTGTAAGGCTGCCGCTTAGCTAGGACACAGTCGCCTTGTCCCGGTTGAAGGGCGCTCCCTGTGCGGGTGGCTGGTTCGTCTCTACAGCAGAGTCAGGAACAGCCGGATCCGCAAGCGGGATTGGTGCGGCGTGAGGTTAGTCTGATGGGGAATCTTGGAAAGCCGATGGCACTGGAGCGGGCGGTGTGGCAGGTGGGAATGCACTCTGGAGCGGGAACGTGCAATGAGCTTCGCTCCGGAGCGGGAATGCGCAGTGTGCTTTGCTCTGGAGTGGAAACGCGCAGTGAGCTTCACTCCAGAACAGGAATGCGCAATGAGCTTCACTCTGGAGTGGGAACGCACGATGTGCTTTGCTCTGGAGTGGGAACGCACGGTGAGCTTTGCTCCGGAGTGGGAATGCGCAGTGTGCTTCGCTCCGGAGTGGGAATGCGCAGTGAGCTTCGCTCTGGAGCAGGATTTACGGAGCAGCCTGTTCAAAGTATGTTGTCAAAGGAAAGGTGCTGGCATAGCTGCTGTGAAGCGGTTCTGCTCGCAGGGTTTGGGACAGGCGGGATTGTCTTCCGTTTCTCCTGACAAACAGCTGCGTGAGCTCGAGCCGGGGAGGTTCCTGGTGTGAATGTGCAGAGCCTGCCCGTGAGATCGGTCACGCGAGAGGAAGGACAGGGTGAGCTCCTGTTACGGAGTGCTTTAGCATTCCTTTAATACAATTTTTGTATGAAAGGAGCTACAATCCCCCTTCTAAAGCTGAGAAGGGCAGCTGCTGGCAGTGTCCTGCGCCCGGCACGCTCCGGGTGCCCCGGGGTGACAGCACGTGTGGCAGGTCATCCCATCGCCCTCGGCTCTCTGGAGAGCCCTACCTGGGGACATTGCCCTCCGTTTTTTTCGAGTGAATGGGATTTTGCAGCAGATCCAAAGCACCATCGCTCCTGACAGAGGCATTTTGGCCAGGATGGAGTGGCTGCGAGCAGAGCACGGCCCAGACCGTGAGGATGTGTCCCTGCGTTGGTCCCCCTCGTGGGCAGTGCTAGAAGTGACTTCCAGTTTTGTGGCACCAGAGATCTGACTTTACGGCCCTGAACCACCGTTCTGGGGCGCCACAAATGTGAGTTCCCCTGGCATTCCAGGCAGCACCAGTTGCCAACTAAGGTCAGTGCCTGCCTCGTTGGAGCCCTTGCGGTAGTTGGCAGCATTAGGAGGTGGTGCCGTGCGTGCCTCTTCCACGTGTCCTTTGCAGGGAGCTGGACTGCAAGGCTGCGTGCATATTTTTGAAGAGCAGTTATCCTTTGTCACTTGAGTCTTTGTCACTCGATAAAGTTAACTTTATTTTCCCCCACTGCAGGAGTGCAGAATGTGCAGGAGCCCTGATGCCCTGGGAATGGACCCAGCGGGAACTGGTTTGATCTTTGTCTGAGCAGTGTCCAAAGGGAACACCTATTGCTGTATCTAGGCTTTGGGAACGTGACTGAAAAAGTTTCCGTACAGAGGACAGAAAAGTCCCTGGGCTGCGTTTGGAGAACTGTGTTCCTTAACAAAGCCAGCTAGGAGTTGGAAACCCTGCCGACACCTCCCATAGTGTGCACAGGGGACTGGCAAAGTTATCACAGTGTCTCACGAGGATGAAAGCGTCTCCTCCGCAGACGGGCGGCTCCGGAGGTGCCGTGTTTTCTGCCATCGCTCTGCGGCCCTGGGGACAGCTGAGGCACCCTACGTGCACGGCCAGTTCCTTTCAAGAGCCTCTCCATGGCACAGCGTTATTTTCTTTGCTAGTTTAGAAAGCATTATTACTGTCCTGAGGATCCCTGCCACTTGTAAAGATATGATTCGCTCCTGCTCCTTTGCAGCACGGCTTGTATAAATGATGCTGATTGACACGCAGGCTTTTGCGACATAATGTTGTGTCAGTTTAGCGCTTTTAACAGTTTTTTTTCTTGTACATTAAGTTGTGAGGGATTCTGAAGCATAAAAATAATGAATGCAAATGCCACTCAAATAGATGAGCTGAATCTTTGGCTTTTGTCACCCGCTGAAAACTGCATTCACATATTCCTCTTGTGTTTCTTTTTCTTAGGTTCCCAGTATTGGATCATCCGTTGGTCGGGTCACACCAGCCGCAGAGCTGCTGTCATGTCCAAGTTAAAGAGCTCTGAGTCCGTGAGGGTGGTGGTGCGATGCCGGCCGATGAACAGCAAAGAGAAGACGGCCTCGTACGAGAAAGTCGTTAACGTGGATGTCAAATTAGGGCAGGTCTCAGTGAAGAATCCAAGGGGAACAGCTCATGAACTGCCCAAAACTTTCACCTTTGATGCTGTGTATGACTGGAATTCCAAACAGGTTGAACTCTACGATGAGACCTTCAGACCTCTTGTGGACTCTGTTTTGCAAGGATTTAATGGGACAATCTTTGCATATGGACAAACTGGGACAGGGAAAACATACACCATGGAAGGAGTGCGTGGTGATCCCGAAAAAAGAGGGGTCATCCCCAACTCATTTGACCACATCTTCACCCACATCTCTAGATCTCAGAATCAACAGTACTTAGTTAGAGCCTCTTATCTGGAAATATACCAAGAGGAAATCAGAGACTTGTTATCAAAGGATCAGTCCAAGAGGCTGGAGCTGAAGGAGAGACCCGACACGGGTGTGTATGTCAAGGACCGGTCCTCCTTTGTTACGAAGAGCGGCAAAGAGATAGAGCATGTCATGAACGTGGGAAACCAGAACCGCTCGGTGGGTGCCACCAACATGAACGAGCACAGCTCTCGTTCCCACGCCATCTTTGTGATCACCATTGAGTGCAGCGAGTTAGGGCTGGACGGAGAGAACCACATCCGTGTCGGCAAACTGAACCTGGTGGACCTTGCAGGGAGCGAGCGCCAAGCAAAGACCGGGGCGCAGGGGGAGAGGTTAAAGGAAGCCACTAAAATCAATCTCTCCCTGTCAGCTTTGGGCAATGTTATCTCTGCCCTCGTAGATGGCAAAAGCACCCACATTCCGTACCGGGACTCCAAACTAACCCGGCTTCTTCAGGACTCCTTAGGTGGCAATGCCAAGACTGTGATGGTGGCCAATATAGGCCCTGCCTCTTACAATGTAGAGGAAACACTTACCACACTGAGATATGCCAATCGTGCCAAAAACATCAAAAACAAGCCAAGAGTCAACGAGGATCCAAAGGATGCTCTGCTGCGAGAGTTCCAGGAGGAAATCGCTCGGCTAAAAGCCCAATTGGAGAAACGGTCTGTTGGCAAAAGAAAGAGGAGGGAGAGGAGGAGAGATGGTGGGGAAGAGGAGGAGGATACTGAAGAGGGTGAGGATGACGGGGACGACAAAGATGACTATTGGAGGGAACAACAAGAAAAATTAGAGATTGAAAAGAAAGCTATTGTTGAGGATCACAGCTTGGTAGCAGAAGAAAAGATGAGACTGCTGAAGGAGAAGGAGAAGAAAATGGAGGACCTGAGGCGAGAGAAAGAAGCAACAGAAATGCTGAGTGCTAAAATCAAGGTAGAATTCTTTCTGTCAGAAGGGAATTTAGGGCTCTGGGGAGAATGGCAAGTTTCCCAATTTCAAAACAGTGATGAGTTAAGCTTAAGTCAGAAGATTTTAAAATAATTATTTCTAGATAGAAGCTGAAATTATTTTAATTTGCACTGTTAATTTCATACTTCAACATTCACAAGTTGCTTTGTTTTTATGTGCTGTTCTTATAGGATCTTAAGCAATCAGCAGAACAAAATGTGATGATAAATCTTTTTTACAAGCCATAGCACAAAAATGCTTCATTCTGGAATGAATTATTAAAAAGTTTGGTGGTTGTTGTGTTTTCCATGAGCGTTTGCATTTTAGTTCTTCAAGCTTGCCACACATTGCAGCAGCGTGTGATTCTAAGCAAGTTACTGTTTTGTTAATGTTACAGTTTTATAGGTATTTCAAGAAATAGTAATTCTTGAAGCAGGTGACTTAACCAGGATGCTAGGTAAGGGAGCTGCAATCATAAGAAGTTGTATACACAGGAGAAACGGTTGTATTCTGTGGAAAGGATTGATTAGATGGTCCCTGGGGGAGAAACTAAAGACCTTTTCTTTCTTTTTCTCTTTAGGCAATGGAAAGCAAGCTTCTGGTGGGAGGGAAAAATATTGTGGATCACACAAATGAACAGCAGAAAATCTTGGAACAGAAACGTCAGGAAATTGCGGAACAGGTATGAGGAAGAACATTTGTTGTATCTGCAGAACTTTCCTGGAACACTATATTGGGAGAAACTGTAAATGAATTCGCCCAAGATTAACCCTGAAATTTGTTTAATAGCAATCCTTAATTTCAGAAGAAAGGGGAAGTGGCTGGAAATATCTCTGCGTGATGAACTAATTGGAAGACCCCAGAGAGTGACAGTTCAGCTCTTAGCTCAAGGGAGGGATATTCACTGTGGGATAAAAGTTGGTTTTGTCTTACGCATTTTTCTTGATGATTGTTTAACTGAAATGTCTAGTATGGATTGATAAGAAGGAAGAAAGAATCTAAACACAGCATTTAATTCCTTTAATTGAAGCCTGAGCACTTATTCACACTGACTGATGACAATTCCAATAGGCCCTTCAGCAAAGTAAAGATCAAGAAGAGCACTTGGTATTTCTGGGACAGGAAATAGGAAGAGCTAGAAGCTAAAGCAAAAGCCCTGAATCCCAGGGAAGTAAAAATACCTTGAGTGTTGGCTTCATGCATGTCAGGTGCATAGTTGTGGTCTCTAATATAGTATATCATGTTTTTAGAAACGTCGAGAGCGAGAAATTCAACAACAGATGGAAAGTCGGGATGAGGAAACACTGGAACTGAAGGAGACCTATAGTTCTTTACAGCAAGAGGTGGATATAAAGACCAAAAAGCTCAAAAAGGTAAATCAATAAATAAATAAGTAAAAATCCGTGCACAGTGGTTAGGAAAAACTCAAGGTGTGTGTGAAAGTGAGGAAAACTGAGGAGTTATAACTTTGGCTCTTCTTGTTTGTGCCAGTTATTTTCCAAGCTGCAGGCTGTGAAGGCTGAGATCCATGATCTCCAAGAAGAGCACATCAAGGAGCGTCAGGAATTGGAACAAACCCAGAATGAGCTCACCAGGGAGCTAAAGCTAAAGTAAGTCTCAACACTTCCCTCCCTGCCGTTAACTCCAACAGAGAAAGTTTCTTTGGATGGGGAGTGGAAGGAGGGAGAGCATTCCACATGCTTGCAAAACGAGATTTGAGCATAGGAAACATTAGTATTACTCTGTGGAAGACGAGTGGTGAGGTAGGTCAACCATTGATTTTCCTGTGTATTTTCCATTTTTTGTGTTTGCCTACAGGCACCTGATTATTGAAAATTTTATTCCCCTGGAAGAAAAGAATAAGATCATGAACAGATCGTTCTTTGATGAAGAGGAGGACCAATGGAAACTGCATCCCATAACTCGTCTAGAGTGAGTGTTATCCTAAACTTTTTCTTAGGCTGGGATTATAGGTCATGTCAAGCAAGCCCCCGGGTTGTCAAGAGTTACCCTGACAGAGAGATTGAACTGAGATTTAAACTGACCCTCTCTTTTTTACTGCGTTATAAAATAAAGTTCTTATTCTTCTTAGTAGACTGATTAAAACAGGACTGTAGCCTTAGGAAAACTCTTGGAAGATTAATTTTCTTTTCCAGGTGATCCCAATAATTATATGTAATTTAGATACAATTTTGCATTTGCTGTTAAAAGGGCATAAATCCATATTATATTTCTTTCCCATTTTAAACGAGAAAGCTCTCAGAAATGATTTTTCAAGAGCTGTGGATAGATCTGACCTTCTACACAGGAAATTCCCTAGAGCAAATTTAGAAAATTGGATGCAACTGAACATATCTGTGGTTTGTGGGGTAAAAATATGTAGAAATCCTCTGTGTTGTTGGGGAACAGATAAGACAGGATAACTATCTCACCTCATTGTCTCTGGTTGTAGAAGATATTGTGGAGGACTGTTCCTAGAAATGTAGCGTTGATGTTTTCTGCCCACTTGGGACATATTTCCTTGTGGGATTTGCACGTGTTTTCACTTACGTAGTCAAAGAGGAGTTTTGGTCTTGGTGTGTAATGGACTGAGTGTCGTCCTTGTTTTGCAGTAACCAGCAGATGATGAAAAGACCAGTCTCAGCTGTAGGGTACAAGAGGCCATTGAGCCAGCACGCCAGGACATCCATGATGATCCGTCCAGAAGCCCGGTACAGGGTAAGCCTGGATGCGGTTACAGCCTTCAATATTCCCATTCCCGATCAGAGGGGGCATGTGGATTCTGAGGTTTGATGGTTCTTTTTTATGGGATGTAAATTTTGAGTGCCTTCTCTCTATTTATAAAGTACTTTAGAATAAGCTCATGGAGGGAAAGATTCATTCGCATGAGAATGTGGAGCCTTTGTCTCTGCTTCTGCTTTCTCAGGCAGAGAATATTGTATTACTGGAGCTCGACATGCCTAGCCGAACCACGAGGGACTATGAGGGTCCAGCCATCGCCCCCAAAGTTCAGGCTGCACTAGAAGCTGCTCTGCAGGATGAAGATGAGATACAGGTGGACGCTTCAACCTTTGAGAGCACTTCAAATAAGAAATCAAAGTCCAGGTAAGCTGAATTTTTAACAAGCAGGCTAGCTAACAGTAGAGGGGTGAACACTGCTGCCTCTGTCTGCGCTTGTCAATAAGGCTGAATTGGCTGTAAAGCAGAGACAGAGAGAGGGGAATGTAGGACAGAAGAGAAAGATGAGAGTGGTTAGAGAATAAATCCAGTAAAATTTGTTAGCTTTGGGGAGATTAATTTTGATGAGTAACAAGTGACATTGTTGGGTTTTTTGTTTATTTTTTCGTTTTTACTTCTTCAGGCCTAAAACTGGAAGGAAATCAGGGGGATCCTCTTCAGCAGGCACCCATAGTTCTCAGCTTTATCCACAGTCACGAGGGCTGGTTCCAAAGTAAACCCAGCAGCTCCTCTCCAGGCTGTGTGCAGCCTTTGCCTCCTGAGAGCAGAGACAAGTAAAATCCTGCAGCGAGAACTCCCGGCCAGACTCCAACCCCCTGCCCTGGCCATGGCCTCTTGGCTGTTTAACTGACTTGTGCCAGCCCAGGTGCACTGAGCCACAGGAAGATACGTGTTTGCAATTCAGCAGTTGGCCTCTGTGGGAAACAGATTTTAGTTAGGCGATCAGAAATGCATGAGGTACGTTACCGTGTGTCAGCAGCGATGGGAAGCATGGGGATCACCTCACAGCGTCACCGTCTCTCCTTCTGCACTAGCCCTTCTTGCTGCACCGGGCTTTATTTTTTTCTTTTTTTATTTTTTTCTGTTGGGCAATAAGAAGATAGAGTTGAAGGTCATCTCCGCAGAACCACCGCTACATGCAGAACTTCATAGTAAGAACCTAATGCAGTTAAAAAGCAGAGGGTATATCCAAGCTAGATGTCTTTTTTTTTTTTTCTTCCTGCTTAAAAGACTGGCATCATCATTTGGGATTAATAAATTGGTCTGAACAGCCAGGATGGCAGCTGTCATCACGCACTCACAGCTAGATAGCTAGGCCTCCTTGTACAAACGTAGAACAAAAAGGGGTCTTGGGAGCATCTCTGTGCCCTCTGGAAAGGAAGCAATAGAAACTGAAATCCTTTACTTGTTTACAGGCCTAAGTTAAGAGCTGCTCTAAACTGACCTCCCCTGGCGTTACCCTGTCAGTAGGAACCACCTCGACAAGGAAGGCACCTGCAGCCCAGCGGCAGCACCGCAGCTCTCCTCCTCCCTCTGCCCCTGGCATTTTAAGCCAATCTCCATTTGACCCTTTAAACTTGGGGTGGTGGGTGGCTGTTTTCCCACATCTCCCACTGTTCCTATGAGATGGAGCCTTGGCTTGGAGCCTTCTTCCTGGCAGGCTCACAGGGCTGACTCTACTCTCCCGTTTAGGCTGGGCAAAGAGCAGTTCCTTGGTGTGAAGCTGTCTCTGAGTGCACTGTTCTTGTATGTATGGAGCCTGCCCTTGGTGCCTAAGGAGGCCCAGGCGTCGGGTCCTTCTGTGTCTCACCTGCTCCGCACTACAGCTCTTCCCTTTCCACCTCCCAGAGCACGCGGGGCTGGTGGGAATGAAGGCCCCACGTATCCAAGTCTCAGTGATGGAATCTGGCGTTAATTCCGGGGGTTGCACTTTGAAACAAGGGAGGACGAGCTCCTGCTTTCGAGGGTCTCTTTCTAAAGCTGCCCGATGACTGAAGCAGGCCGTGACGCTGCGGGCTCATGCAGCCGGGGAGGAGGTGGAGCTGCAGCAAGGTGCTCCTGTCTAGTGTCTCAGCTCTGCTGTCCGTTTTAGTTCCGTGTGTGTTGAGACTTGGGATGTTACTTTTCCTGGTTGCTGTTGGCTGTCATCCTATGAATGTTTTTACCTGTTTCCTCTCCCTCACTGATGACTTCCTCCAGACTGACATGCGCGAGGGTGTGAGGACTTGCCTGGGTGTAGAAATGCTCTCGTGTGTGGACTCTCCCTTGTGTGCTCGTTACGAATCCGCCGAGTGACTCGTCCAGGCTGGAGAGCTCCATGGAATCTGACCCCGTGAGCAGAAGGCCCCGGCGCGCAGCAGAGCTCACCTGCATCCTGCGGGCACGATGCCTCGGTGAGCCGGCTGCCCGCTGGGCCCAGGGGAAATTCTGCCTCAGCTGCTTTGATTCATGGAGTGCTTTTCTGGATCACAAGATTAATATATATATATTTTAGTTTTGGTGGAGGAAAGAGGGGTTTCCCTATAGTTGAAAGAGTAGCAATCTGACAGATTTCTTTCAACTTGAAAATGGAAACCTGGCCTAATCTTTCTTTCTGTAAACCACTATTTATGTACAGAGAGTCCTTTAATTGGCTCTTGTTGCATAACATAGTGTCACCTCCTTTCCCTCTCCCTGCTTTTCCCCTCTATCACATAATCTTCTGTACTGCAGCATTTTAAAAAGATAATTGTATGGTTTAACAGAAATGAAACAAGGGGGTTCTACAACCTAAAAAAGCAACATAGTACATATACACATATATGTACCTATCTGTGTACACATATGTTTCTATATGAATATGCATGCACAGACACAATTGTGTTTGCACATGTGCGCACTTCTTCGGTCACTGCTATTCCACAGGGAATTCTGTATTGGCACAAAAGCTGAAAACTCCCCTTGTGGCAGGTATTGGTACAGTGGAAATCACAGTGCAAACCCAAACTGTTCTTGTTTTAGTGTTAATAAACTAGCTGGTTAATATGTCAGAAAGGCTCTGCTTTTAATTTTGTAGAAATGCATTAGCAAGGTGAAAGAAATTCAATAGGATGGAAAAAAGAATAAAATTGGATATTTAGTCAGTGTATTTATATCAGAGCTGTGGATAGAGATGTGGTTAGTGTATTCATGGGCAATCTCAGATTGTTACAGAGCTCTTAGACTCTCATTTTGGTTGACTTACCCATGAACAGATAGGCAGAGGCACTGATACCAAGATAATATTTATTGTTATAGCCCTAGAAAACGTCCTGAGTTCTGGTGTGAAGTTTTTTAAAAAGATCCTGCCGAGTTTGCGTCTCCCTGGGCGTTATCCGCCCCATCTGGGCTTCCTGCAGGGTAACAGCCGAGGACAGGAAATCCAGCAGGCTCCTGGAAGAGGCCCTTGGACAGTGTGTGTACTTGGAGGCTCTTCACAGGAAGGCTTAAAATCCTTCTCCTCTTTGCTCTGGTCTGTATAGTGGGATCTGAAAAGCATAGGAATTAAAGCACTTTCTTAAAATCCTTAATATAGGTTGGATTGCCTTTTAAAAAATATTTGCATGCTGCTTGAATCGTCAAACCACACACTTCTGTCCCAGCATTCTGGACTACACTGACGCGTTACACAGATCAGGCGTCTCTTCTAGAGGGCTTTTGTTCCTGCGGATGTAGGAAACCTGCCTTCACCCAGCACAGGGCGTTCGCTGGCTTTGAGACACCTCTACACTGGGCCTGTCCTCTCCTCTCCTCTGTTTGCCATGCACTGGGGCTTAGAGGGAGCAGTGTGACTCTTGGACGTGCTTCTGCTGGGTCAAAACGCCAGCTGCAAGGACATAACCTGCAAAGCCATTAACTAGACGCCGGATGGGGCCGAATGAGAGCGCTCGTCCCGTTTGCGCTGTACAGGGTGGGTTTAACCCTCCAGGCGCCCACACCTTCTCCAGGCTCCCCCTTTCTGCAGTGTGGAGCCCAGGGCTCTCCTCATGTCCACGGGGCGCCTCGCAGCCCCCTGGAGATCCACTGACCTTGGCCTTCTCCTAGGTGACCTGTAGACAAGGAACCTGTCAATAGTTCTGTCCATAGGTTTTACAGCTTATATTTATTTGTATCATCTCTTTTTTTTTGTCTAGGAATGTAAAAGTGATCCTCAAATACGACGTGTAATAAAGGTTTATGGCATCTACGAGAACGCGCCCTCTTTTTTGGTATTTCCAAGTGAAAGCTGACCTCATTCACCGTGTCTGTTACTGAACCCCATGCGTTCTGCTTCCGCAGAGAGACCGTTTCAGAGCAGGGCAAGTTCCGACCCGAAGGGCAGGGTGTAAAGGCGCGGGGCCCGCTGCTTCCGGCGGGCGGGAAG